GTGGGGGGGGGGAAGAGGGCGCCGGGGGGGGGGGGGGGGGGGGGGGGGGGGGGGGGGGGGGGGCCAGCTGTGGCAGGGGTCGGGAGTGGGCAGGGCCATCGGGGGTCCCCCCCATGGTTCCCTCCCCCCTCCTCCAGCCCCCTGACCCCTTACTCACCGGCACCGGAGTCCTGATGCTGAAACACACAGCCTCAGCAGCTGCATGTTTCAGCACCAGGGCACAGGCCAACCATAGAGATGCTCTGGCAGCCAAAGCATCTCTGTGGAGGACCCAGCCTCTGGTTGCCTCAGGGCACAGTCAGGGACCATGCCCTGCACTGCTTTTTTAAAAGTCGATTTCTTTATTCTGCAAGTTTGCAGTGTGGGAAACATTTTTTTGTTCCCACACGTGCCTGTTGCCCTGCCTCAAAGGGGTTTGAGGTGGGTAAGAGGCACGTGCACACTCATGTGGACACGCCAATAGGAGTTAGTTAGCATCCTGCCATAAAGGATCACCAAATGAAAGGATGACTAAAGAATGAACCCACTCTGTCCTCTACTTTCTCAATAATATTCTTAGCAACCAGTTTCTCTAGTTCTGCTTTCAGGTTTTGTCACAGAGCTAAATATTTTTTTCTGGGAGTATGTATTATAGAAGTATAGGGTTCAGACAGCTCAATCTTATGTTCTTTTTTCAGCTTCCAAACCCCTCAGAAGCATGCTGAAATTTATCTTCAATTTTACTGTGTCCCTTTACAGTACATATTGTCTGAGTAATACCTAGCCTGACAGGTCTTTAGCCCTAATACAGGTACATGCTTTCCTGGCAAACCCACAAACTGAATTTTCATTATCATTTTTTACCTTTAGCACCAGCTCCCATGTGCTGACAGTAGGAATCAGTTCTATGGTGTGAAGTCAGAGCTTTATCTGCTTTCTGTGAATACTTGCTTTTTTCAGGCCCTTTACAATACAGTCTGGCAAAACATTGGCTTCTGCACCAGTGTCCAATTTAAAAGTTACAGGAATCCCATTTGTTTTCATAATGATCTTCCAGTCTTCTGATGATATTGTACCATGTACTAGTCTTACATATAGCTCTTCTTCTTTGTTGCTTGAAATGTTGTAATTCACCTCACTGTGCAGTGCTTGCACACTCTGTACCTTGCTGTGCCTGAATTCCTCTGCACTTTAGCAAAATGGTTCACTTCTGCATTTGTTGCAGCATTTTCCAAAATCAGGACATTGCTGTGGCCTATGTTTGTTACCACCTCATGTACAGCTCTTTATGTTGTTTTCCTTAAACTTGCCCTGATTGCATTTTACAGGCCTCCCCTTGCAATTTATGTTTTGTCTCAGTTATTTCCTGGGAGGGCATATTATTCCAACAGTTTCAACATCTGGCTCTCTTTCCAAAGACCTTGCTCTAGTCTGAGTGATCTCTACTGCTTTGTACATGCTAACTATTCTTTCTAGCTTAAGATCAGGATCTTCCAGTAGTCTCTTTTCCTGAGCTGCGTGTCTCTGATCCCTATTACTATCTGACCCCTGATCAGGGAGTCTTTGAGTTCTCCAAAATTACAGGATTGACTCAGCAGTCTGAGATCCTTTTCAAATTCCCCAAAGGATTCTTCCTCCTCTTGTGACCTTATATGGAATTGATATCTTTCAAAAGTCTCATTCTGTTTTGGAGTGCAGTAGTCCTTACACTTTTTGAGCACTGTCTCATAATCAGCCTGCTCCACTTGGCTCAGATACAGATTGTTATATATATCCAATGCCTCTGCAACCACTATATTGAGAAAATTAGCTACCTCTTGGTCACTTGACTTAACGGCTCCATTCTTCCTCATGTATAGGTTGAGTTGTTACTCAAACCTCTTGCATTTCTCTGCCCCATGGCTGGATAAATTCAACTGTGCTGAAACCTGTAGTTTCTCCATTTTTTTTAATGCTCATGCAACACAATGGCGTCATCTGTTTTAAAACAGCAATATGATATGGTGCGGGTTCACATCCCTGAGGTAGGGGCCATTTTTACAAACACTAACAGTACACAAACAGGTATCAGAATCCCTCTCTCTAGCTCTGTCCAAATCCATTTAACTCCTGGGTTAGGGCCAGAATTACACATAAACTGGTTTAGGTGATTGAAAACCAGTTCTAATTTGTAACAACAGAAGTTCATTGCACATAAACCACTTTCAAAATGGCTGAAACTGGTTTAAGATAAACCTGGATGGAAGTAGTATCAGACTTGACTGATTTAAGTTAAATCAGTTTGTTGAACTTGTGTCCCAGATCACCTCCAGATTCAAGTTAACTCATAGCCTCTAGCATCCCAGGATGCTTTGGACTTCTGCTGCATGTCCCCCAACTTGCAGGATAGGCAGGCTGAACTTGGCCCAAGCTGTCTGCTTCAGCCAAGCATGCTTTAGTGCCCCCTGGCTTTTAGCTTGGGCCACTGCAGGCATGTGGCTACATTTCCAGCATTAAAAGTAAATGTCTGTTCACTTGGTTATTGGTTCAATCTATGCAGTTTAGACTAATCTACGAAGATTGAATCAGTTCAGCGTCAGGCTTTTTGACCATTTAGCCATTTGACCATTTAGTCTTAAAGGTGTACATTCCTCATGTCATTGGGTGTTACTATTGTCATTGTTGCTCTTGCCCTCATTGGATGTTACTGATGTGTTGTCAGCATTGAAATCTCAGGAACTGTGTTGTCAATGAAGTCAAAACTAGGAGTATCCAACACCAATCATATAAAAGAATGACTACAGACTTGGTTCAGTGGAAAATAATCAGCCAGGTTTATTGTCTACAAGCACAGGCCTAAGATGTTTTAAACTAACAAGTACATCAGACCAGGAGTTAAGGCATTTGTACCTGTGACAAGTCATCACAACACCACCCAGTCTCCCGTAGGCTGCTACAAATTTCCCATAGTTTCCAACCATCCTTTTGTACAATAATCAAAAGTGCTCTCTAGTTTTTGGTGTTCAGACTTATGTATCAAAATGTATTATTAATATACACAGAGTAAATTCTCTCACCTTCCAGGTACATTTTGCACTGAAGCTAAGCAGACAGACATCCCTCCTATCCTAAAGTTCTTTTAAAAAAAAATCATGGAGATTTTTTGCAAAAACTGGCTACATCTATACATTTAATTAATTCAAAGCAATAAACTCTGGCACATATTGCACCAGAGTTTGTTGTTCCCTGACACACTGTTTGAATGTGCGCCTGGGACCTCATCATGTTGAGCTGAGTCAGAGCAACCCTGGCTGGCAGGGGACCTGGAGGGTCAGCCTGCCAGCCCAAGGATTCTCTGACTCAGCTCAGTATGCTGCGAAGGGACTGGCTGAGGCGCAAACGTGCTTCAATGTGGGGTTAGCCATCAGGCTGCCCCCTCACTGAAGCATCCTCATGCCCCAGCCAGCCCAGGCAGTGGCTACACATGAGGTGTTGCACAGTAAATAATGCTACTGCAAGACAGTACTTATATTTACAAGTAGTATCCTTTTATTATTAGGCTTTGGTGGCCTTATAGGGCTTCATGTGTAGATGCAGCAACTTTACTGCAGAGCTAATTAGGCAGCTCTTCAGTAAATGTCACATGTAGACACACACACTGAGAAGGATAATGTCACTTTAGATTCCTGATACAAATGATATCTGGCCCTTGGTCTCTAAGATGGGTGGTCTTTCGTTGTGACTGCATGATTTTCTTTAGTAGTATAAGAGTGATGTTCTCACCACAATGGTCCATGCATCATGTGCAAGGCAAGGGTTTCTTAGGGGGATAGCTTTTATTGGCCTGATTATGTAGTTGGAATAGTATTAGATAAGCTTTTAAAGGCAAGACATTCTTTCCCAAGTCTGACGATACTGATGTTCTTTACTAAACTGTGTCTGACTGGTTGTAATCAGACTTGACGAAGAAAGTCTTGCATTCAAAAGCTTGTCTAATGCTATCTCAACTCCACAATAGGTCTAATAAAAGATATCACCCTAAAATCTTTGCTTTCACCTGATTTTCTTTGGCATACTGTCACTTTTTGCAATGCCTCCCAACGCTGCACTCCTTTCATAGTCCCTTTAAATCTAGAAAGTCCTATACTTTAATTTTGTATCCTGTTCTTTTTCTGTCCTCTACATTCATTATTCTGAATTCCACTTGTGCAATATCAGAGGAATGCCATTTAAAGCAAGTTTTAGTTTTGTAGGTTCATAAGTATTAAGGCATAAGATCTATAGCAATGCACATTTTTATTGTACTTTAGCAATAACAAATACAAAAAAAGGCTACAGTACTAAGAGTGCTCTAACATCAAGTTTTAGTCATATTTTTGTCCTTAGGAATGTCTGCAATAAACTAAAAATAAGAAAAAAATGGTCCAGACCAGTCTAATTGTCCTACCTCTGTTTACTCTAAAATTACTGTTATTATTATTATAAAGAACTATATTGCAATTTTTCCTGAAGCTTCCACTCCATTATGCAAGACAAACATGTAACAGTGGCAATGACTGTGCCACTAATGATTCATTAACATGTAAAAAAAATAAGGATAATGAAAGATGGACAAAAAATGAATATGAAACAGGGTGATTGTGAGCAAAATACATCTTGTAATTTAATTCACCTAAGGTATATTTTCTCTTTGTATTAGGATAAGAAAAAAAATTATCACCAAAGGCTAAACAAAGTTACTCCATGAACCATTTCCTTACTTGCATTATCATCCAGAATTCCAGCCTTCAAACAAACCTTATTTGTGACTCATTCATTTCATCCTCTGTACAGCTGGGTGTAGGCAGAGACTGCTCAGAGTTGGATGATTTTAGTCATGTTTAGAAACAAAAGTATATGGGCCTATAGAACTGTAATTTTTTTTAGATTGCAACTTTGCAGGTAGATACCACATTTACATATTAGGCAGTCAAATCCTGTATTAGACCTAATCCGTAGTTCGCTTTTTTGTGAAATTCAATGAATAGACAAACAAATGAAAACAAGGGGCAAGCCCATTTTATCTTCATGTAACAGCTCCTGTAGTTGCCATGGAGACATTGTGTAATTGTGAATAGTTTCTTGATTAGAAGATTGGTGGTCTCTACGTTCCTTTATACACAACAGGTAGCTGCAATTGAATATGAATTGTTTTCTAATTACAAGAAATAAAAACCTAACCTAGAACAGAAAGGATTACAGAAACTATGGGCATGTCTACATGTCCATTTAAGCACAACTAAATTTACTTTACATTAAGTTAATGCACAGTAAGCAATTTTGGCAGGTGTCTACACATGCAGAGACTTGGCACTAAATCTATTGCCAAGTCCCTCCAGCCATCCCATGTGCTCCTGTGGTCTCTTGGGGGGGAGCTCCAGCCTCCAGCCTCCAGCCACATGGCTCCTAGCACTTGGCTACTATCTTGGAAATTCTGATTCTTGTCCAGCCCCATCCCTTCCCAGGAGCTGCATGCCCACCCATGGTGCTGGGCCTGCTGACCCCAGCAGTCCCACCCAACCCCACCCTGCCACCCTGGTTCCAGGAGAGCCACACAACCACTAGCAGGGCCCACAGCACTGGCTGTGGGAGGCCCTGGCTGATTCCGTCCTCCTGCACTCCCTGCTCCAGCCCTCTTGCCCTGCTGCCTACACAACCCTTACCTCCTGCCTGCCCCCAGCACCACTCTCAGGGTACAGACAGGGTTGAAACAAAAAAAATTATTTCCTTAACAATACCCCCACTATCCCTCTCCCCCCCCTCAACAAACAGAACCCCCTCCCCTCAACCAACAAAGCCCTTCCACCACCCTACCCACGCACCAACAATAAAAAACCTTTTTACAAATGTAAAACTATTTACAGTATTTCTGGCCCTCAATCCCAGAGTGGGGGGGCATGGTGAGGCCTATGGGGCAGAGCCCCAGAGCAGGTACCCAGCACCCCAGCCTTGTTCCTCCATAGATTGAGGGAGCACAGTGACTCCAGTGGGTTTTGGCCTTATGCACAGCTGGGTCTTCAGGTATGTGGTATGGGGGAGAGTGGCTGGGCCAGGCCCAGGTGGGTGGCAGCAGGTCCAGGGTAGAGGCTGGGCCATGGATCTGGAGGGAAGGAGGTACCTGAGGACCTTCTTCTTGGGCCAGGTGAGGGCCTAGCTCTAGGTGCACCTACTCCAGGGCCTCTATTTGGGCCAATGGTCCCAGTCCATCCAACCCCGTGCCTCTGCCCAGGTGATTTCCTTCACCCACCAGGCCTGCTCCTTGGCCACTGCCACAAGCTGCTGGAGCAGGAGGGTCTGGTACATGGTGCACTTCTAGCACAGCTGGCACATCCAAACAGCTCCAGTGGTTGGTGGTGGTGACACAGAGCCTGTGGCAGGCCAGTAGGGGGCGCTCCTGTGTTAAGCCACCCACCTCCCTGCGCCCGACCACCTTCCAGGCTCCGAATGCCTCCCTAGGGGTGCCTTACGTCCGGCTGACCCTCTTCCTGGAGCACACTCACTAGCCTGGGGGTAACATAGCTGCCACCACCTCAAGAATGGACTCACTCTCAGCCCTGTGTCCTCGGGGAAACACAGGCCTAAAGTCCTATGGGTACTCGACCCAGTACAGGCACTTGGGGCACTTCCCCAAGTCTGGGAGCAAAAAGTACAGTCTCCCTTAGTCCGCAGACCTAAGGGGTCTCTTAGGCATAATTTAGACCCACCCCTCAATAAGTCTCCCACACCGGTCACAAAGGAGAACTTCATTGATTACAGGGGTAGGGTGAAAGTAGGGTACAAGATTGAGCAATATCCTAGAAATCCTAAAGAGCAAATAGTCTGGCTGAGGTAGCCTTTTGATCACACATCTGAGTTACTGCCAGCTAGATATCCAATCAGATCTTGAGTAGCTTACTCACAAGCATCTTCCAAAGGCTGGTGAAGTTTCCCTTTGGAGGCAGGCAGTTCCTTGCTCATGAGTTATGGGGGTGAGAGCCAGTCTCAGATGGTCATGCTTCTCTGAGTCCCCCGCATGGCTGCTCCCTGCTCCTCCTGGGCAGTCCTAACTTATATAGCCCCTGTGACCTCATTCACCTGGTCCAGTGGAGGCCAGCTGTGGTTGGCTGTTGGCCAACTGATTTGAAATACATCACTAGTTGCCGGGCAGATTCCAGCCCACCAGGTAGAAACCCCTCACCCAGGTAGCTGATGCCAGTCACGTAGGCAGAGGGAGCAGATTTCCCCCCTCCCTCAGGAATGTCTCCATCTCAGGTTACCTAAAGAGACAGGCTGAGGTGTGTCTCCTCTGCTGGGCTCATCCTAATCAAATGGTCACAACACAGAGATTACTCACATTGTCACAGGGCAGAGATTTTGGGGAGAAACCAAGGTGGCTTTCTGCCACAGAGCCTGCATCCCCACTGGGGCTGGTGGGCTCTCCCCAATGTCCAGATGTTGGCTCTGCAGAGGCAAGAAACAAAAGCTTTTTTGTGAGAGTTTACAACTTTTCAGAGCTAAGATACTCTGCATGGAGGTCTGTGTGTTGCCTGGCCTCAGATTGAGGGTCAGCCATACATGGGTGCTAGGGACCATGGTTAACTCACCGAGAAGGCCCAGGTCCAGGCAGCTGCCACCCAAGTTCCCTGTTCCCCGTGGCAGCAGAAATCACTCTTCCCACCCCAAAGATGTTCCAGGTACCTGGGAAAAGGACTCTAAAGACTATGAGGAGTGCTAGAGAAATTGCTTCAAGCATGAACACTCACCTCGCTGCAGACAAGAAAGGAAAGAACAGGACATGGGGTGATCACAGACACCAAGATTTATCAGCTCCTGTAAGTTCCAGTTAGCTGGGCATGTGATGGATAACCATTTAAAAATGCACCCAGCAATACCTGGAGGAGAGAGAGGAAGACAGGGAGAGAACTGGAAGGAGTAAAGAGACAGAAAAAAATGCTTGGACTATGCCCCGGCAGGGGAAAGCAGAAGAGTAGGAAACTCTCTCCTTTTGAGGCTCAGAGGAGTCTACTTACCTAAATCCAGAAGAAAGAAGATGCCATGGCAGGGATCAGAGGGCTACTGGTTACTTGATCCAGAAGAGCCTGAAGCCAACTAACCATGAGTGGTGGAGTTGCAGGACTGGGGATCTATTAGAAACCTGAAACCCACTGTCCTGCAGCCCGCCTAAGGATAATATTAAGGATAAATAAGAGTAAACCCTAGACAGGGATCTCCACTGCTGGAGACAATTAAGCCTTCCCTTCCCAGGAAGCAGAAGCTGAGTACAGGGGGCTAGCCATTCACTGTGTGATAATATATACAGAACCAAATCCAAGCCAGACAGCTCATTGCCTTGGTCTATCAGTGACCCCCAAAAAACCAGAACTGTGTGTACAGAGAAATCATAGCCAACCAAAGGTCAGCAGTATTTTAGGCCAGCAAGCCTCCCTCCTTCTTTAGGTACATCAAGTTGTGGCAGGAGAGATAGGGGAGATGTGCTGAGAAAAACTTTAGTTAAAAACTCTGCAGGGACCTTGAGGCTAGCATGGATCAAATCCCAATGGTAATGTAAGCGAATGATCTCATTAAATTAACTCATTTGCTTACACCTCTCTTGCTCCCCTGGAACCCATGGCCCGTTAGGTGCAGGCCACAGGCAGCTTGTCCCCTCTGCCCCCTTCCCAGGGTGGGGTAGTTCAGGCTGCTGGCAGTACCTACTGCCACAGCTCCAGACCCTGCTCCCATCTCCTGTCCCTGCAGGCCAACTACTCTGCTGTACTGCTGCCCAGCCCACAGTGCCTGGGCTTGGGGCATATGGGGCTCCCAGACAACTGAGGCAAAGGGCTGGCCACACCCCTGTCCTCCCCACTGGGGGCCTCTTTGGGGAGGCACCCCAGGCCAAGCCCCTCTGTGCACCACTGTTGTGCCCCAGGTGTGCCCCTGTGGAACGTGTCCTAGGCAGTGCATGATGAGCTGTTCGTGAAGACTGAGGGCTGCCTAAACCACTATGCCCTGCTGATGAAAATCCTTCTACTGCCCTGGATATACCTGTGCTCCTGGTTCAGGACCCTGAGCTACAATGGTGCAGAGGCAAGCCTGGGCTGCCCCTCAATCTTCACCACCACCTGGAGAGCTACCTGTGGCAGTACTATATGTCCCTGCACCCCACTGCCAAGGAGAACATCACTGCTGGCATCAACACCTTCCTCAGTATGTGAGAAACCCATGCCTATACAATTGTAGGGACATGGGCTGCTGAATAAAGTTCTGAACTAAGTCCTGCCCCACTATGTGCTGTAGTGGGGGGTGGGGGGGACTTGGGTCCAGGGAAGTTCAGGCAGGCTAAGGGCAGGGAGTGGGGGTAAGGGTAGGGGAAAGGGCCAGGACTAGAGACAGGGGCAGGGACTGGGAGGGCCCTCATACAGTGCAGGACTTATTATGTGTCTGGAGCTGGTGAGGACGGTGGCTCAGTATTGTCCTCCCTGTTGGCAAGGGCAACAGGCTGTACCCAGTGTCTGAGGGCCATGGTGTGCAGTGGGCTAGTGCCTGGCTAGAGGCCCGCCCAGGGGAGGAAGTGGTACTGCTAGTGGCTGACAGTGATATTGCCAGCCCCTCCTTGTGGCGAGGTCTGTGGCTGCACTGAGGGTAAGACAGTCGCTGGCCAGTGCTCCCCAAGCTGCCAGTGAATGCAGCAGCTGGGGAGGAGGATTGGACAGGGTGATGAAGGCCGTCCTGCGGTGATATGTTACCAGAGGGATCAGGGCAGAGCAAGGCCCTACTGGTGACACTTGCAGGTGTGCGGCCTGGGTCCCAGAGCACCAAAATACAGGTCAGCTCCCAAAAAAAGGCCATGATCTTACAGGCATGACCAGATTGACAATTGTAGTTGGTCATGAACTTCCACTGTGCCTGCAAGGCCTTGACCTTAATGCAGCACTGCTGCACTAACTGGGAGTGTCTTCACTCATGCATGCCACCCGACAGGGCCTCATTAATGTGGGCATTAGATCTCCTCCCCTATGCAAACTTCCTCTGTACATTGGCATGGTCACAGAGTGCCACAAGGTCGCCAACCTCCTCCCAGGTCCAGTTGGGGGCCCAGTTGGTCAGCACAGATGTGCACACATAGACAGGGCCAGGGCTTGATGGGGAGGATGATGAGGATAACATTATCATCCCACACTGGCTCTCCAGGCTCCCTCATAGCTGCCCCTGTATGGCCAGCCCTAGACAGTGCTCAGGAGTGCTCAGCAGAGGGGCATGGCCAGGGACTGGGAGCCATGTGGCAGAGGCACTTCCCCACAGCACCTGCAAAGAGACACTGCTGGGGGTGAGTAGCAACAGGGAGAGACAGCAAGCCAGCATCCTTCAGGGATCTCAGGGCTGGGCAAAGGATGCAACAAGCTACAGCCCTTTGCAATACTCACCTGTAGTCAAGCAGCAGCTCTGCAGAGGGAGCAGGCCAGGTGGAGGCATCCTGTGGCCTATGCAGCAGGGTACATGAGGCCTGCTGGGCTCCTAGACACAGAACAGGTTCCTTCAAGTGCCCTGGTGTATGTGCCCCAAGGCACAAAATTGATTCAAGATTTTATACCCTGCAGCTAGGGGCTGCCAGGGAGCAGCCCAACCCTGAAGCATGAGAGTTGCCTAACCAGGAGCCCTGCAGCTGGGGTCGTGGCTGGCCCTCTAGTGGCTGGGCAGACCTGACACTAAACTTAGTGCTAGGTCATGTCTACATGTGCATTACTATGCATTAACTAATCACACCTAAATTTGATACCTGCATTTGCAGGTATCAAATTTACTTACGATTAGCCATTTTTACTATGCAGTAAGGGCATACACATGTAGACATGAGTCCATACTGCACCATAAATTAAGCTAATGAGCATTAATACATCTCATGTAGATGCACCCTATATATCCTTTATTTTCTCTTATGGGGTATACAAAAGCCCCCCTATACCAGTAATTCTAACAATTAGAAGATTCATTTTCACTTCTCTAAAGAATGTGTATTCACTGTTGATCAAAGTCCGACAAATCAAGACCTAAATACTTAAACACCATTTTACACTACATATAGTAAGATTTGCTTTATGGACAGTGGGTGCATCTACATGTTCATTAATGTATTGTAATTACAGTGCATTAAGTTTAGTACCTGTAATAACAGGTACCAATTTAATGTGTCATAATCAGTGCTACTGCACATTAGTGCAGATGAACACTTTTTGTGTTACAATTAATGCCCAATGAATGAATTTGCTGTACATTAGCACATTAGCATGGTTTTTGCCAGCTACACTAATGCACAGTAGAAATATTCCAATGGCAATTGAGTGTTTCTTGTAGACATGCCCAGTAATTCCCAAACTGAAGGTCTTGATAAAGGAAATGAAATGCATTTACTATGACTAGTTCCTATCAAATGTCAAAAGCTACCATGGGTAAAACGTGTTCTTATTTCAGACTAAATGTATCAGGAAATATGAGATTTTTGTCTATGAAACCACATTGTCTTATTTCTTACATTGAGGAAAGTCAGAATCCACCAAATTGACTCTGTCTGATTTGAAATGACAAAACTTAAACTAAACTGTGTTTCTGAATTTGAAGGACCAAAATCTGCACCCAGTAGGCACATCTACAAGTTCATTAATGCACTTTAGGTAATGCACATTAAATCTAGTAGCTCCAGGTATCTAGACACAAGCATGAAGTCTGCTCTGATGAACTGGAATTCCAGTGTGGTGGAGAAGATGTGATTAATCAAGTCTGCTGGAGTGACCCAATTGCTGTGCTCCAGTAGCCTCCTGAATTTTGTGTATCAGCATCCCCGCACTTAAAAATGGTAGTGGGGGTGCTTAAACTAAAGCTCATCAAATGAACTTTAGTTCAAGCACTCCTACTGTCTTTTTTAAGTGTGGGGATGCTGATATATGAGACGCAGCAGTGCTTTAATTACAGCACTCCCCACCTCTTCCCGCAAAGAACATGTAAAACTACCTTCCATTGTGAGTTATTAGAAAAACTGCTCATAAAGAGAACATTTTGGTGATGTTTTAACATGCATTTAAATAGCCTAATGCACATTGAAGTGCATGTGTAAATGCACCGGATGTTAGAATAGAGTTAAACCAGAGTAAATACTTACATTTCTTCAGATTTACTCGATTTATAATGATGTAAATTAGGAGAGGATGTGGCTTAATATTTGCATGTTCTTTAATATAATTTATTCTTTTCTTTATAGTTCATAGCTCACTAACTGCACAAAAATAGTTCAGATCTCTTTGTCTGAGAAATATTGGGGATTATGCTGCTGTCTATGGAAAGGCTGAAAATGATGTCCCCTGCTAGTTGTTGCCTTTATTCTCAAATTGGATTCAGATTTGATACTGCAGAGAGTGAAGGATACCTGGTGTGAAGCATTACCTGACAGACAGAGAACTGCTGATTTCTTCAGTGACAGGCCAAAATAGAGGAAATGCAATAACAACACTGCACAGCACGTTTCTAAAGATGAAGTTCTGTTTAATGTCTGTCACATCTTTAATGCATGCATTGTTAGGGTGACTGTATTTGGATCTTGGGGAGCATTGGATTTGCAGCTGAATAAAAGGCCTAGCAAAACTGCTAACCATAAGGTAGAATGGTATGTTAAAAGTAACATTGCAAACAATATAGTAGTGTTGTAAGATATATAGCTCCTTATGTATCATTAGGAGGTAAAACAGATTTTTGCTTATGAATGCTTATGCTATGCCAGCCATTTGCTTATGCTAAGTAGCTATCCTAACTGTGTCAACCATTTTTAAGTGAGCCTGTGTAAGTTTGTGAGCTGCAAATGAGGTGAAGTCTTAAGAATGTGGAAATGGTACACCCTGGGACTGAAAAACAGACTGGAATATGAAAGACAACACGTAACTGGTAACAGAATCTGAGATAAACATATGCAAAAAGTTGAATGGTGATTGGTAGAGAAGCCTCCAGAAGCTTCCAGTTTAGGTCAAAGTCCACCCAAGTGACCGAAGAAGTGGGGTCAAGGTCTTAGACATGTGCTCATAGCAAAAAGATATGTAAATAAATGAAATATATAGGTAATTCCATGCTAAT